CTACCATGTAGCTATCTGTGATAGCGCTTTTTTTTTGTTGCTTTGAAATACTAGATAGATTTTTGTTTCTTTTTTTTTTCTTTTACAGAAAGAAAATATGGACAGACAATAGTTAAACTAAACTAATTATGTGTTTAGCTTTCTTTTTCTGTGGTTCCGTTAATTTTAGCGTAATTGTATAAATTTTCACCACTCTTATATATATATATATATATATATATATATATATATATAGAGAGAGAGAGAGAGAGAGAGAGAGAGGTACAAAAAAGAGAAAACTCGCCTCAGTGAATTTGAGGGGAGAATAATTTTATGCGCGAGTTCAACTCAATTACATAAAAAAAAAAATTTAGATAGTTTTTCTTTTCGAACACTTGAGTCGTATGGTAGTACTTGCTCTTGTATTGTCAGTTTGTTTTACGAACAACTGTTTTTTTTCCTGTGTGTGTGGGCGTGTAGAAATCGTTCTCGTATTGGACAGACTTCAATATTCCATAGATGTCAAATCGCTAGTTCGTCATTGCTGTTTGGTATTGCAATATATGTAGACGCTGGGTGTTTAGCTTTTAAATCGCTAATGTATTAATACCAGCTTAATTTCACGTTCAACACTGCTGTGGGAACGCGTGGAGTTTGAGTATTTTTCAAGTACTGTCGCTATTGATATGGTGAGAACGAAATTCTCGAATATTTCTGTCGCCAATGTTGTGGGACTGGCAAGGTATTGCGGTTTTTCGACGTGAATGCATTTCTAGAATTCTTCGTCGACCCAGATGTGGGATTGGTAAGGTATTTAGGTTTCGCCGTGAGTGCGTTTCTCAAATCCTCGTCGCCCCTGATGTGGGGCCAAAGTTGGGACCACAGAAGTAAAACACGGAACACGGATTAGATGTAAGAAAGATATATTAACAACAGGTTACAGAGATAGTGTAAGCAGAGCTTACTACAAGTTAGTGTCCAACACTGGTAGTCGTACTAGACTCTCTCTGTCACTCTGTCTCTCTCTGTCTCTCTCTAGAGCGCTATGTCGCCTACTTAATATATATATATATATATATATATATATATGGGAGGGGTAAATAGTTACTCAATTATGCCTATGAAATAAATATATATATATATATATATATATATATATATATATATATATAATTGTAATAGTTACAAATATATGTATATAAAATAAAAAAGAAATATACGAGAATGTAGGGAATATATACATATATATATATATATATATGTGTGTGTGTGTGTGTGTGTGTGTGTGTGTGTATACCGACACTTAAATATTAAATTTGCAGAGTTTATTCAAGCATACGGGAACATGGAAGCAGTCGTGCGTATTTATTTTTTTATGTAAATAATGTTTGTATTACAAGTCCGGAAAATGTTCGTTGTTCGTACGTTTTATTTTATTCGTATACACGCAGACACACACACACGCGCGCACACATATATATATATATATATATATATATATATATATATATATATATATATTCTTTATACTTCTCTAAATTCAATTACGTGTACGTGGAATTACAAAAAAAAACGCTCTACAGTATTGCCTATAAGTATAGCCCGATCATATTTTTGCAGAAATTAAATTTTTCTTTTAAATTAAATACATGATCTTATTATTACTTGTGAAACATTGCATAATCAAAGCAGATATATTATCAAGTATTATTTATTAACTAACGCCATAGCATTGAAACTCTATCAAAAAATATCTAAACATTGCTGTCCAAAAATGAACACTTCTCATTGAAAAAATAATGTTTGTTTAAAATCAGTATTTGGTTTGCCCGGGTTTATTTTTTGGCAATGATTATTCGAAAGACTAAGCATCGGAATTTATCTTTAAAATCTATTTTTTCACCGCCTCTTATTCTTGAGGATATTAACTCCACCTGATTTCTACAGTCACGGCAATGTTCTTTCCAATTCGATACTATGCAACTTTTTACATCTGTTATGTTTGATAGCCCTTTTTCTACATTTAATTTGAAAAAATTGCACAAATTGTCAGTGTGATTTTAAACCTGCCACATGTCCAGCCAATCGAATACTTTTAACTTTTAACTCTTTAGAAAATCCGTTGTTTTAATAGAATAATTTCGATCAATTTCATGCTGTAACACTGATCTGCGTCAGCGCCTGAACATTATATTTCCTTTCAATATTCTAACGTGTTTGCAGTAAGAATTAACACATTCCTCCAAATCTGTCGCCTAAAACTATAATTTTATAAGAACTATTTTAATATTATAAGATTTTATGAGAATTATTTCAATATTATAAGGTGTAAAAACGATTTTAGCATTGTAAGATTTTATGAGAACTATTTTATCATTATAAGATTTTTTTAAACTATTTTAACATTATGAGATTTTTTTAAAACTATTTTAACATTACGTGCAATTCAAATCAACGATTAGAAAAAATATAAAACAAAAATATACAAGATGTGCCAACAAATTTTACATCATTTTAAAGGCAATTATCTTGAAAACTAAGTCTAGCTGAATTAAATTGAACAGTTTAGGTGTTGAATATCATAAGTTTATTATGGGATCGATTTCATATATGTTCAATGTGTGCACCGCCTGTGACACGGCACACGTCAAGTCGGTAGTTAAGCTCTTGCCAAACACGCTGATGTTGATGATGGTCTACCAGATTCTTTAGCCCTGAATAAGCAGTCTTTCTCTTTAATTTTTTGGTACCAAATCCAAATTTGTTTGCCAGTTGGTAATTTTTTTTCCAAATTTTGCATTGAAGGCTCGCTGTACAGTCATGGGTGACTGTGTACGATCACAGTCCAAGACGCAAAATGACTTCTCTTTGGGAATGAACGGTATGGCTCAAACTGAAAACACAAGAAAAATAAAACATTAAATATAAAATCTTGATCCGTTTCTGTACATTCTGTGAAAGTTTGACGTTATTTCAACAAGAATTGCCAAAATTATTGGCTGCGAAATGATGTCAAATTTTGGGGGACACCCTGTATATCTAGTCGCTAAATATATTGCGAGGCTGAGCACAGCTGTTATCTGCGAGGTAAGTGAAATCGGCGTGCTGAGTTCAAATTGCTGAGTACGTTACATGTACATTTGTACAAATACCCTTGGTAAATATATATATGTAAATATATATTCTCTCACCAGATATGGGTTAAATAGCAGGGAAACCAGTCTGATAAAAAGACAAGACTGAATTCGACTGCAACTTCACCCAGTTAAGTCTACTTGAGACAGAAAGCAGAGCGTGGTAAGGTTGTGGTCCTAGAGTCTAATGGTACTAAGGGGAAGAAGATATGGAGTCATACATTTCCCAATGCTATTTGTGCGAAAGTGAATGTAACGACATGAATTGAAACTGAGCTGTCAGACTTCTCGTCTCGAACCACTAGCCATTATACTACCTGCACACACACACACACACACACACAGAGATAGATAGATAGATAGATAGATAGATAGATACACCCTTGTGCAAATTAACTGCTTTAGTTTCTTTCTTTCTTTCATGATACGTTCAGTGACAGAGTGTAATCGATTTCTATTTTTTTCTCATTTGCAGTACTGTGCAGTAATATCAATCTATTTTGGGCGTGTATGATGAAATTTGTTTGGCCTTGAAAAATATTGCATCATCCGTGATTGCATCAGATTTTCATCACGCCCAGACACTATTGTCTAAACTGTCGATTAGTGGTCTTACGGCCACTGTCTGCGATGGACGTTATTCTAAGGAAGCGCGCGAAAATTGTAAAAATAGATAGATAGATAGATAGATAGATAGATAGAAGCAGAATGGTTATCGACTAATGATAAGAAGTACATTTTGAAGC